CGCGGGACTCCAAGCAGCGCGCGGGCTACTCGCGCCCAAAGCCGAAAGCCGGCCGCGCGGGGCCTGGCACCCAGCGCGCTGGTGGGGCTGCGGAGGCCGCGGGGCAGGCGGAGCGGCGCGATCTCTGCCCGTAGCGCGCCAGAGTCCGGCGCATACGCACTGCTCGGCGAGTGGAGACGCGCTAGGCACTCCGGAGGGGCTGGGCCGCTGAGAGCTGTCCATTTAGCCTTGCCTAGAGCCTGGGCCACTAACATCCTAAAGAAGGGCTCCCCCTACGTGTCCGCCCCTGGGCCAGCCTGTTGGGTTTGTGGGTCCTCCAAGCAAGGGAGACTTTGGGGCAATTACGGGCGCCTGTCGGGCCTCGGAAGGGGGGCTTTCTTCAGGCACATCCACGCGGTGTTACTTAGACTCTCTCCACGGCCGGGCGGCCAGGAGCAGGCACCTACCTGGAAGGGGAGCAGCTCGGCTGCTGAGATTGTGGGAAAACTGTGAAACTCACCCCACTGTGGGACACCCAATCTGACTCTCTTCCCTCCGATTCATCCCCGCAACCCAGAAGCCATTTCTGAGTTCCAGTCGCACAGACACCTACGGAGTTTCGAGAACAGACTCCAGCGAGGCGGCGAGCGAGGCCTTGACCCTGACACCAGGACTTGAGATCTTTGGGGCCCCGGCTCAGCTCCACTGTCCGGCCCCTGGCAGCAGCGACAGAGGGAACGTCGTTCCCTCCGGCCCACCCCGCCCGCATTGGCTTCAGGAATCAGGACCCACTTGCGCCCGGTTGGTTTCTGGCGGCGTGAGAGGAGAGGCTGATCCTCCTCCAGCCCCCGGAGCCTTCCCTTGCGAGCGGGAGCGCACGGGCGGGCGTAGCCTGCCAAGAGACCTCTGTCTCACCCGCCCACCTATGTACTCAGAAACAGCCAGCTTCCCAGGGCGCACGTCGGCCCCATCAACGAACACCAGCGCCTTTTTCCACCCTTTTGCGCCTACACGCTGTCTCAGGCCTTCTCACATTTCCCAGTACATCCTCACGCACTGGGTCTCCGCCATTTCCAGATGCCCTACGCAGCTTTGTGACCGGAGCATACGGATGCCCCCCCCCCCAACGGTTGGGGTGGGCAACATGAAAAAAGGAGGGGCCTCAGTCACGAGCCCAAACCCTCCTCGACCCTTCTCCACCTGCCCCTCAACACAAAAACACTTGCATGTCACCAGGCACCCCAGCAGTATTCCAGCAAGAGGTGGGCACTGGTGGGGTTGTGGAGGCCAAATTCCCTGGGTCCTGACTCCCGCACCCCCGCTTGGCTGATCCCTGCTTTCCCAGACACCAAAATGGTGTTTCCTACAGGCACTAGGGACAATCCAGGCCTCGGTAGCCTTGTGTTCCCTCCTCAGATCTCCCTGGCTCTGTTTAACTTTTGCTTTTGTGGCACGTCATCACCACCTGCTCCCCCCGTAGACCTGTCACTCCCTTGAGATGCACTTTCAGGGTGGGAACAGCAGGGTCTGGGCCAGGACCACATGCCAGCCAGGTCTGCTGCCGAGCGTGAAGTGAGGGGAGAAGACTGCCCAGGAGGCACAGCGAGCCCCTTGGCTCCCCTGTGCACTCAGCCACCCTTGGCTTTTATGCCCCCAACCAGGTGAGTCGGTCGGCGCAGGAGGGCTGGATTCTACCTTCTTCATTCATTTTCACCTTCGGGGTTTGCATGGGTATGGAACCTCGCTGGGAACAAATGAAAGGCGGACAAGGTCAGGGGAACAGAAAGGGAGGGAGACTTGCGCTTCCAGCGCTGTGTCCTTTATGGTCACGAGAGCAAAACTCTTGGCTTCCGGCTGCCACCGGGGAAGGGGTGACGCAGCCATTAGGAACTGTGCTTGGTGGACGCCTAGGGGGAGCGGTTGTATTCATCTGGCAGCATCTGTGCGAAAGTTATGTCCAGTTGGCACGCTCTCGTGGGGCCCGCAGCAACCTCTCACTGGGTCTAGTGGAGCTTGGAATGGAGGACTGGCTTGTTATAGGTTTATGCAGTGGGTGAGTAGCTGCTCGGGTTTATTTTCAGAACTTCTGCATAGTTTCCCGTTTAAGTAAATATTTTCAGGGTTAGCTTTCCAAGGGGGAGGGAAAGAGGGAAGTTGCAACAAGTAGCGAGATTGTGCCGGAATAAAGCTCCAGGACAGCCACCCTGCCCCCTACTGGCCGGTGAGAGCTCCCGGTAACCTCCAAGGATCCCACCTGGGCCCCGGAAAGAAGGTGCCACAGGTGGGATCTCTGACGGTCTGCCTCCTCTGGCTAGGACCATCTCTTTCCCTGGGGGCCAGCCACTGAGACCTTCAAGGCAAGCTTCGCTGCACGGCCATGCCCTGGCCCCAGCAGATCGATAGACTAGGACTGGCTGCTGGTAGGGGCACGGGTGTGAGTGTGGGTTTGTATGCTGCTGGGGAGAAGCATGATGTGTATTTGTGTTTGTGTGTGTGAGCTTACATGTGGGAGAGACTCATTTGGGTATGTATCTCATGTATATTGGGGCAGAGAGTGTTTAGGTTTTGCCCGAAGACATGTGTTTGTGTCTCTAAGAATGGGTTGAGAGTCTGTGTGTTTGCTTCTCTGTTCGTGTGTGTGAACGTGTGTGACAGTCAGTGTGTTTCCCTGCGTGGCCACTGTGTGAAAGGGTGTGTGTTTTTGGCGCCATCCACAGGGCCTGGCACACAACGGCCTTTCAATCCCAGTGAATCGAATGATGAATGTGTATGTTGGTGTCCTTGTGAGAGTTCTCGCAGAGCCTGTTTCCCTGGGAGTGGGAGTGTGGAAAATAGGAGGCAGGTAGGGGTGATGTGGGCTCCAGGGTCTACTGTGTTTCCTCCCTTCCCAGAAGTAAGCCTGGGGCTGGTGGCTCAGCTCCGCTGACTCAAGGTGGCGTCTATGGTCGCTTGAGCCTCTCCGGACCCTCAGGCAATAGCTGGTTCTTCACTCCGCCACTCAGTGAAGGTCAGGCAGCTGGGACCCTGTAAGCATAGATCTGCTCCTGGGGGGACCTGGGTTGTCCTCTAGAGCAGAGCCTCCAAGAGAGGCGGAGCGAGCTGCCAGGGCTGGAATTCCTCTTGCGGTGCAGGGTCGGGCCCATGCGGAGCAGTCTCAGCCTGCTGGCGATTCCCTTGACCTTCAGGCCTGCACAGAGGAAAGGCGGGAGGCATAGCCTCCTGAGCCAAGTGAGCCTGCCCAGCTGTCTGCGCGGCTGCGTGAATCTCGGCCGGGAAGGAATCCGAGGTACTTCGAAAGTATGCGCAAAAGGGTCTTCTGCGAACGCTGATTTCATCAGAGAGGAAAGCCTCCAAAGAGCAAAGTGTCCGAGCACTCTAGGATCTTGCCGTCAGAAGAGCGCCTCATTCTCCCTTTCCCGTGGGGTCCAGGTGGCATGTCTGAGCCGAGAAGCGTCCTGGTCGCGGAGGAGGAACATGTTCGGTACCCACAGCCCGGGGTGACCTGAGACGCAAAAGCCACAACTTCCTCCTTGAGGAGTCCTGCACGCTTGGGATCTGGCAGGATAGGCTTAGAGGGGTCGCTTAATGTGGGGGAGAGGTGGGACTGGGTCCCCCAGAAGGGAGAGGGCGCTGCAGGTTAACGTACCGCTATAGAGGAACCTACCGTGCTCGATGTGCGGAGGTGCGCCCCCCTCCCTCGGCCTCACAGGCTAAGCCCTGGTGCCCTCTTGCTCCCATTTAGAACACGCGCCCGCCGGCCGGCCCTCCCCAGTCTCCTCGGACTTCCCTTCCTCCCCCATCCTTTCATCACCGTCCCAAAACGACCGATTTCTGAGCTTGGAGACCTTTGCTCCACGTCCACACGCACCCCCCGGGCTTTGCACTGGCTCAGCGGCTGCCCTTGGGGCCAGCGAATTTGCCCAGGGTGTCCCACCAGGTTCTAGGGACTGCGACCTTCTTTCCACGAAGGAAACCTCCGTGGCCCGATTTGTTCCCCAGCTTTGGCATCTCCAGACATATGTCCCTTCCTTGTTCGGCACACAGCGTCTCTTTTCTTATCCTCATCCCCGAAATGAAGAGAGGAGGGTGAGGGCCCTGCTCCGCTGATGGGGGAGAAGAGTCTCCAAGAGGAGCAGGCCACCCCCTTCCTGCTTTTGCAGGGAGCTTCCCGCACAGGAAAGGGAGCAGAGGGCTTTGGGGAGAGGGGGGAGGTTTCAGAGTTTTCAGTCCCTTCACCTTAGGGCTGATACAAGCGACGTGTATGGGGGAAGGCGGCTCCCGGTTTCTGGGGCTCCTGGGGACATCGCTGCCCAGAACGGTCCACCCGGGGTGTCCCTGTAGGGAAATCAGACACTGCTGCACTCCCAGATCACGGGCCTTGTGGTATATATCCATATATATATTTATGATTTCTAATTTTATTATAAAATAAAAGCAGAAATATTTCCCGAAGAACATTCACATGAGGGCGTAACAGGGAGACGGCAAGTCCGTGGCTCGGGAGGCACACTCTGCCGGGAGCACTGTGACCACAGTCCCAGGAGGAAGAGGAGAGAGCGTGGCGGGCCTCACCGAGAGAAAGAGAGGGGCAAGCGGCTGGGACATGCTCAGAGGCCCCTGTGCCACGGTCCTTTCTCTTGCACGGAAGTTACTAGGAGCACAGCTGACACCTGCAGCCCGCTGAACCCCGGGCAGGGCCTCTGGAGAAGGCCTAGCTCCTCTGCTCTTCCCCCTGCCACGTCCACCCAGGAAAGGGAGGAAGGAGGACGCAAACAGGTGTCCGCGCACGAGGAGAAAGGCTGAGGGGTTAGACCCTGGGGCCAGGAGTGCAAGGGGCCGGCCAGGGGAGAAACGGAAAAACAGAAATAGAGAAACAGAAACCTACCAAGGGGTGACAAGCCAGAAATATAGAGGGATGGGGAACGGGGAAAGCAAGAAGGGGAGGTAGAGAGGACAAGAGAGAAGGAAAGGAAAAGATCTGGAAGAAAGAGCAAGGAAGGCAAGGGAAGGGGAGGGAAAAGGAAAGAAGGGATGAGAAGGTCGGGAGAGAGAGTATGAGAATGTATAATTTATTCCCTTCGCGGGTTCAAGGCCGGGTCCCAGGGCTCCAAACGATCTCAGAAGCAACTTGTTGAAAACAAACCCCGCCGGACAAAGACCAAACCAAAGAGCCATCCACCCTGCCCCGGCCGGCGGTTCTGCCCGCTCAGCGAGCGGGTCTTTCAGTACCTGGTGGAGCCGCCGGCGCAAGGCGCCCTCCCGACACCGTCTCTCCGGTCCCCAGCGCCAAGCCTGGAAGGCGAGCGCGTCGAGGCAGGCGGGGCTCTAGGAGCCCAGGTCCACGAGGTTGGCCGACATGGGGTTGAGGATGGAGTCCTGCAGGCCGTGGTGGTGCTGCAGAGGGTCCGCGCCGCCTCCGCCTGGCACGGGCACGGGTACGGCGCTGGGGCCCGGAGGGTGGCCCAGGCTGTGCAGGGACGGCAGCCCGGGGGGCGGCGGCGGGCTGAGCAGCAGCGCGGGGCTGGACGACGAGTGGTCTGGCGTCCCCGACGGCGTCTTCTCGTCCTCCGAGCTGCCTAGCACCGACTTGCCGCTGCCATTCAGCGACGCAGCCAGCGGGTTGTGGCTGTTGGAGTTCTCGCTGTTCTCCCTGCAAATGCAGGAGCAAAGCAGCCGGGTCAACGGGGGAAACCGAGGCCGCTCTGCGCCGCCGCGTCAACCGGAGCCAGACCCCGCCGCTCGCCTCCGCGCCAGAGCCGCCCGGCGCTGCCTGCGGGTGTTTTCGGTTTCTACCATTTTCTCGGCCTGGCCTGGGGCTCTCGCGCTTTCTGCCAGTTCTCTTAATCGGTCAATACAAGATTTCTCTCTCTTATTCTTTTCACTGTGCCGTCTCTATCCCCCCACCTCTTCTGTTCTTAACCTCTTGAATATCCTTCCTGTTCTCTGTACGTTCTGGCCCCCTCCCCCCTTCACTGAGTTTCTAACATTTCTTTGCCAGAGGAGAGGGGCCCAGGGAGCAGCTCAGTGGAGTTGGGGAAGGAGACAGGGAAGAAAGGGAAGATGCCTGGATTTTCAGATTCTTGGCTCCCCAAGCCAGGGTTGCTCAGTAGCAGTGGGGCCAGGAGAGTGAGGGCCCCTAGAGCCTAGGCTGAGGGCCCCATTTGAAGTTAGGGATCTCATGGGCCTTCACCTCCCATTGCTTTTCTCCCCTTAAGGCAAATCTCTTTTTGGGGGTCAGGTTCCTGGAGCTAAGGGTCCTTTCTTTCTAGCTCCAACCTGGCAGGTCTTGTGAGGGCTCTCCTTGCTGGGCCTAAGGACAAGGCCCTGAGGATGTAGCACTCCCTTTCCCTGGTGGCACAGTGCAAACTTCGGCTGGGAGGCTAGAAGCTGGGGGCTCGGAAGGCAGCCCTTGGGAGAAGCATGGAGGGGATTGCTAATCCTGGCCTAGACTTTTCCATCATATAGAAACTGAGGGGTTCTGCAGCCCTCACCTGGGGCCTGGCCTGAGAACCTAGTTCTTCAGGAGTTTGGATGCATGCCAGGCTGGGAAGAGGGGGACCCCAGGAGGGAGAACCCACCTCCTGCTCTGCCTTTGATGGTCAGCCCCGACCAGATCTAGAGATTTGGAATCTGGGGTAGATTTTCTCCTCACTGGCTTCCCAAGACCTTTTCTTTCTGTTTTCCTGGAAGGGAACTTCCCACATAGCTGGCAATGGAGACCTTACAACTGTACATACTCCAACCTCATTGTCTGAGAGGCCAGGGTTGGCCTGAAGCTCCCCCTTCCACTTCCAGAGATCTGGGTCCACTGTTCAGCAACCTCCCCCCACCCTAATCATTTACTCTGGGCTGCACACGCCCCATTCCACTAACCCCAGGTGTCTTGTTTTGCTGTTACACTCGGGCTGAATTTCTGTTCCCACAATCGGTTTTTCTCCCATTTCCTTCTTCATATTTGGGGTTCAGAGGAGCCACAGACTGGCAGCCACAAGGGCCTAATGGTCAACTGTTAAGCTAGTTCAGGAAATCCTGGTTTCCTTGACGACAAGCAAACTCCCAGGCCTTCTGTTGCTCTCAGTTTACCCCAGACCTACCGGCCTCCCCACTAAAGACGGTAGGGCCTGAGGGGAGAGGAGTCAAGAGCCTGGCAGGCCAGGGAAGGACTGCTGGGTCCAAGAGGGCAGGAAAAGGGGCATGTGTTTCTGTTTTGCTCTCCTACAGCTGACACTTCCGCCCCATCGCCTTGCTCCTCTTGGTCCTTCCCATGCAGGATGAAAGTCTCCCTTTCTACTTCCATACCCAGACAATGAATATTCTTGCCCAGGACCTTCCACATCCAGGTCACACCAGGAAAGTATCAATCCCAGTCCTGACCCCTAATCACACTTTGGCCTAGGGCTGAGTAAGGCGAACAGGAAGTGCGGGGAAGTGCCGGTGAATTCGCACAGGCAGCCCCAAATCTGCAGCCCTGATAGTCCCCCTCCGAACCCCTCGGTCCTTACGAAGACTGTCAGACCCTGCCAGCTGTGTCCCCCTTGCATATGATCCAGCCACTGTCTTGCTTTCGCCCCAAAGTTCGCTGCCTCTCCACTTTTGTTCACAAGCGACCAGGGAGTTAATTGACAACTTCCCCGATCGCTTTGCCCGCTTTGGACAAATTTCTGCCCTCTCGGTCTCCCACAAGACCTGAAGGCCCGCAGGGTCTGACGAGGCTGCAGCTGGGCCGTGGCAGGGACCGAGCACCCAGTTTAGGCCTCTCCTGGGGGCTGTGCACACGCCCCGCGACCCCCTCCCTGGAGCCCGGGGGAGCTGGCGCCGAAGTTCTACTTACTCGTACCTTTCTTTGGCCTCAGCCGCGCGGTCGCGCTGCCGCCGGTTCTTGAACCAGTTGCTGACCTGCGTGGTGGTGAGGCCCGTGGCCTCGGCCAGCTCGCGCTTCTCGCGCGGCGAGGGGTAGGGGTTATGCGCGTACCACTCGCGCAGCACGCTGCGACTCTTCTCCTTGAAGCAGTAGCTGGTCTCCTCGCCGTCCCAGATGGAGCGCGGCAGCGGAAACTTGCGGCGCACGCGGTATTTGCCCACGGCGCCCAGGGGCCGGCCGCGCAGCTTCTCCGCCTCGATGTAGTGCGCCTTGAGCCACAGCTGCTGCAGCTTGGCGTGGTTGTGCGGCGAGAACTGGTGGCTCTCCAGGATCTTGTAGAGCTCGCGGAAGTTGCCGCGGTGGAAGGCCACCACCGCCTTGGCCTTGAGCACGCTTTCATTCTTGTGGAGGTGCTCGCAGGCGGGCAGCGACCACAGGAAGCGGCCCAGCCGCTCGATGTTGCCGCCCTGCTGCAGCACCTCGCACACGCACGCCACTTGCTCCTGCGTGAAGCCGAAGGTGGGCAGCATGGACATGGTGCCGGCTGCGTCCCCGCCCGCCCGCGCGCGCCCTC